TCAGTCTAAAACCAGCCGAGACAGAGAACTGGTACAATATGTCCTATATTATTTTAATTTTAAATTACCTATAAATTGTCTTCTTGAAATCTAAATATTTTGGATTTGGGCTAAACCCCCCAATGTTTAGAGACCCTAAAAACGCCTCTGGGGCCGGGTAAAAAAATCGATTTAATTGATTTCGGATCGATTCCATTTATATTAAGCAATATCAATTGGCATGAAATCGATTTTTCCACAGTCTCGTGCGTGAGGTCAGGTTCACGTTCAAACACATGCGTGTGTATTCACAAAATGGCCACCGCGCATAAGGCTGCGCTCAGCAAGCCATCATAACTAAAATCTGATGTCTGGAACCATTTCGGATTTAGAACGACAAAAAATGACAAAGAGCTGGACAGAACCAAAGTGGTTTGCAAGATCTGCCAAGCAGCGGTCAGTTATTGTAGAAATACTACAAACTTAACAAACTACTTGACGAGGCATCACGCTATGATAACGTTAGCATTTGACAACAAGCCTTCTGTGGTAAAACAAAAGAAACTAAGAGACTCTCTAGCATTACCAGCTGATTCTCCGCGGGCCATTAAGATAACAGAGGCCATCGTAGTTTTCATTTGTAAAGATTTACGGCCGTACACGGTAGTGGAAAACGAAGGCTTCAAACGACTCCTTCATATGCTCTAACCCTACTATTTTATGGTGCAACGTAAACATCTGACTGAAATGGTCATCCCCATGATGTACACACGTGTAAAAGACGACATCTTAATGAAAATGGAATCAGCAGAAAGAGTCGGCATAACGTATGACACATGGACATCACTGTCAACGCAGTGGTACATGGCAGTGACTTGTCACTATATTGGCAATGAGTGGTGCCTCATCTCTCATGTGCTAGAGACCACCAAGGTTCACACAAGCCACACAGCTAGTAATATAGCGGATATGTTGATGGGATCCATTCAGAAATGGGGGTTGACCAGCAAAGACCCAGCAGTCATTATGGACAACGCTGCAAATATGGTTCGTGCGGTGGAGATAATGCAGCTAATGCACGTTGGCTGCTTTGCGCACACACTGAGTTTGGCCTCACAAGCGGGTCTAAAGATCCCAGCTGTATCATGTCTGCTTGCCCGTGTGAGGTGCATAGCAACGTTTTTCCACCAAAGTACGATGGCAAACAAAATACTAAAAGAAAAACAGAAGCTACTTCAACAGCCAGCGCACAACCCAACAGTTGACGTTGTGACTAGGTGGAACAGTACGCTGGACAAGCTGGAGCGCTTTTTAGAGCAATAGCCAGCCATCTCTGCCACTCTCCTTTCACAAGACGTACGCAGGAATGAAAAAGATCTGTGCACCTTAACAGAAGAGGATGTAACAATTGCCAAAGATTTGGTGCAGGTTTTGCAACCAATGAAAAAAGCTACACTGGTAATGTCTGAGGACGAGCAACCAACTCTATCTGCCATTGCTCCACTTCTCAGCCTGCTCCAGAATCCCTTTTCCCCCAGCATACAAGACTCCACCCTGGTGAGGGACTTCAAGACTGCAGTAAAGAATAACTTGCAAACAAGGTATGCTACGCTCCTTCTCTCTCTCTCTCTGTGTTTGCAGTATTCAGTGGTAATCAAATTTTTAAATAGGTTCTATCATGAATTCCAAAAAACAATTTTTTTGTTTTGTGTACTACTGATTCGTTGTAGCAGTTAATGATTCATAATTCATGCAATTTTTGTATGTATGCTGTTGCATCTGTACAAACACAAGGTTTATCCTCACTCATACTGTTATAACCAAAATGATTTGTGAAATGTCTTGAAGATATGATGTGCAGAAAGGCACATTGTATGCAGCATCAGCACTGGATCCTTGCTTTAAGGCCCTTCCATTCCTGTTTGCTGAAGAGCAAGATGACACCTTCTCCAGGCTGCAGACTGAGGCTGCCACTGCTGTGTGTGATGTAAATATTTAGAAAAAGAAAATGTATTAAACAATAATTATATTATCATTGACAATTAAAAGATTCTATTTTGGATTGTAATAAATATTATATAATTTTAGAGTTTATAAATGATTTTCAATCAATTTATTTCTGGGTTTTTTTCCTGTCTTTTTCAACAGCAAAATACTGAGGGTATTGATATCGATAAAGGAGCTCAGGAGATGGGTGAAGCAACTTTGCCCAAGAAGCCTAAGAAATCCAGCAACTGGGAGCCTCTCCTTTGGACAGTCTATTCACCAATAGTAAAGAACCATGGACAAAAAACTCCAGCAATGAGGGCTGAAGATGAAATAAGAAGATACAGGGCTGAATGAGAATCCTCTGAACTGCTGGAGGTCAAACGAAAGAGAGTATCCACTGTTGGCTCGAATTGCTAAGCAATACCTTTGTGTCCCAGGGACCAGTATTTTGTCAGAGAGGGTGTTTTCCACTGCCCGTGATATTGTCACTGCAAAAAGGCGATACCTAATCCATGTCATGATCATGTCAATGAGCTCGTTTTCCTTCACAAGAATCTCACATTTAGTGAGAAGTGAGAACAAAGTCACATTGACAGATCTTGAAAGTTTATTTGTAGTTTTGTTACCATTATTTAAGTTTGAACTTAAAGAAACAGTGCCCTAATGCAGTTTGCAGTTATGGAAACTTGTAGTTCCAAGTACAGTTTTACTTGCACTTCCTTTCTTATTTCAAGTTTGCCCTTTTGAGACTTGACAGTTTTGTTTAATAGTTTTGTTTAAGTTCAATTTTAAGCTGCCCAATTTACAAGTCTGGACTTTCTGTTTTAAGTTTGTTTACGGTGAAGATAAAAAATAAAGTAAATTTGTATTTTGTAACTCAGTTGTGAATTTTTAATTATTTAAGACCATAATGAATTAACTGAATCGAATGGAATTGCAAATAATCGATACAGAACCTTATGAATCAAAATTGAATCGATTTAGAAAATTAGCCACAATGCCCAGCCCTACTCCTTTATGTATTAAGTTTGACTGGAGGCTGATTAATCTGCATTGTTAAAGTTTGAATATGAAGGATGATGTCATTGCAGTTTCTGTTGTGTAAAGCTTTTAATACAGGGGTGTCCAACGTGCAGCCTGGGAAAGATTTACCCTAAAACTGATTTTGTGTTTTTTTATGTTTAGGGTAAAATTTTCACAGTTGCGAGGCCTTTCAAAAAAGATGCAGAGGTATTATATATTCTTAAAATCAAAAATGTTTGGCACAACACCAGAAATATGCCTTTTATAAACCGTGTTACTTTAATTGTAAAAAGAACTACACACATGAATGACTCATTCAAAAAGTAGACTTGGGCAAAATTATTCATTAAACTTGGCTAAATAAAGCATATAGTTTGAAGAAAAGCAACACGTCCTCTGTTCTTGTTGAGAATAGAATAAAAAGCTTTTATAGACATTTTTTTCTTTTTTAACCACAAAAAATCGACTACCTTTATTTGCTTCATTAGAATATTGTGTGTTTAGTTTACTGTTGAGCAGGTAAAAATAATAAATTGAAAATTTAAATTATTGAAATTTCTTCAGGGCTGTATGGTGGTGCAGTTGGTAGCACTGTTGCCTTTCAGCAAGAAGGTCCTGGGTTTGACTCCCATCCAGGGATCATTTTGCATGTTCTCCCTGTGCATGCGTGAGTTCTCACCGGATACTCTGGCTTCCTCCCACAGTCCAAAAACATGCCTGATAGGTTAATTGGTCTCTCTAAATTGCCTTTAGGTGTGTGCATGGTTGTTTGTGTGCTGCCCTGCGAAGGACTGGCGACCGGTCCAGGGTGTACCCTGCCTCCCGCCCATAGACTGCTGGAGATAAGCACCAACTTCTCCACGACCCACTATGGAAGAAGCGGTATAGAAAATGACTGACTGAAATTTCTTTAAATTATGGCCCATGAGGCAAAATGTTTGGATACTAATGCTGTAGAAGAAACCCTAAAAATAAATGCAGAAATTAGTAAAGATGCCTTACCATGGAACCTTGTAGTTGACATGCAGAAATACAAAAGAATTCTCTGAACATAACGAATTAACCAAGTGTTACTAATTTTAGATTGGACTTCGTTTACAAATTTCTCTCGGTAACGTTTGAAGCACATGAGCAAAGCTTAATTGTAATGGACTAAAGGTAGACAGTAACAGGAAAAAAAACCTGCAACATTTTTGCAATGGTTATGCCATCATCTTTGGGTTTGTTTTATTTTGGTATTTATTTTCTGCTCCCTTCATCTATTTGTGTTCTATCAGTCATTTCTCCCATTTCCTCTGTTCTTCTTCAGGTACTTGCGTTCCTTCCCAGCTGCACCCAGTTTCTAACTACCTGTTCCTTGTTCAGGAATCAGCTCTCCAGTTTAAACATCTCTTTGGCTACGTTCACACTGCAGGTCTTGATGCTCTATTCCGAAGTTTTGCTGAAATCGTTCAAACCACTAATTAAATGCCACTGCCATCAAACTTTAGTTTGAATGGTTCACGACCCCAAAGCAACCTGCATGTGCAGTAGGATAATGTAGATGTGGATGTGTAGTCAGAGCCAGGACAATGTTGGAGTCATCCATTTTGGTCGCACAGTTGAACATGCGCAGCTCAACAGATATTGCTGCTCTGACGCCACCTGGGATTGTAAAACCCGCAGAAAATAGGGCTTCCTTGCCATTTCCAGCGTGTCTCAGGGGACGACGTAACGGAGGCACATATCTAGAGAGACAAAAGCTCGCAAGTGAACTTTTTCTCCACACGGCCATTTCTGGAAGTGCTTGAATGCTGGAAATCTGTCTGATACAAGAAGGTCAGAAGATTCATATACCGATCGAAGACCACGCCGACACCCGGCGCAGGTGCAAACCCACATAAGTTTTATTTCCAAGGAGATGAGTTTCCTCCTTGTTGATTCAGTCGATCAAACGGTTCTTCATATTTTCCCCTCCTGGACGGATGAGAAGTTTACCGTTTTTCTTCTTGAGTTGATCACGGACGCGTTATCCCCCTCCCCCTCGTTTTCTTCAGACCTGACCCATCCTCAACCGGTGGAGAGAAGAAATCAAGTAATTTCGTTCTTTTTATATTAAATTGGATAGGCACATTTAGAAATCTGGGCAGCATGAGGCATAGTTAAGGTGATTTAGAATCACCAGTAGTTAATCCAAGGTATCAACTTGTTGCATGCAATACTGATTGAAGTGTTTTATGCTGAGCTGTGTTTTNAAGTCTGGGCAGGATGAGGCATAGTTAAGGTGATTTAGAATCACCAGTAGTTAATCCAAGGTATCAACTTGTTGCATGCAATACTGATTGAAGTGTTTTATGCTGAGCTGTGTTTTGATTTGCTGTGAATTGTGCATGTTCATGTTTTGTCCGGCTGATCCCAAATCAGCCAGGAGTTAAAAGTTGGACTTTTAAAAGTTTTTAACTCAAAGCAACTGCCTGGGTCTGGGCCTCGCCTGACCACTCCTTTGTTCCAATTTTATTACTGGAGTTTTTCCACTGAGTTCCCGCCTCAGAGTTTTATGACTCTTTGTTCGAGATTTGGGGCAATCAGCTGCTAGAGGCTAAAGGGGCGTGGCCCCACCATTTTGGGAGCTGATCGCTGCGATCAGTGTCTTACAGAGACATCAGTACAACAGGAGGACTTCTCTTTCCATTTAACCCAAATTAAACATTTTGTCCATAAAACTGCTGGTTTGATCTTCATAGACACTCAATGTGCATATATTTTTCTTTTATCATTATTTTTAGGTAGTCATTTTTATTCCCTTTGGGTAGAATGGTGCTTGTTAGGTAGGTGAAGGTTTTTGGACCAGAATAATGGTATATCAGAATTATTTGGCTTCAATAAATCTTCATATAAATATTTAAGAGAAGCGTTTTTGTTTATTTCATGCAAGAGTGATTTATCCGTCAAAATAAGGTAGAAGTTCCCCCACCTTCGGTGCAGCAGTTGAATAAACAGTGACATTTTGTGGTTTTGGTTAATAATTTATCAATTATTAATGATGAATAGCTAATTGTAATTATTAAAGAGCTTTGAGCCCATAATCCCAGCACCAGAGGATATCTCTGATTTCTATTTGTAAGTAATGATTTTTGGTTAAGAAATAAAAAAAAATTCAAATTATGATTTTAAATTATAATTCTTGACAAATATTAATTAATCAATAATCATAATCCTTACAACAATGATGTAAAAAGTTGGATGAAATGCGACATGACCATTCTGACTGCGGAGACTTTGAACACTACTGAATGTATATTCGAGTTAGTGCAACATATCAAAATGGCACAAATCTGATTTTTTTTTGGAAGTGAAGAGATTGGAATTGGCCCTTTCTGACTGCCATGAAAAAGTAAAATATGGGTCGTATATAGCAAAAAAAGTCATATTTGGGCTGTTTTTGCCTGTAAACATAGCCTTAGTCAGCTCAGCTCCTGGTCAGATAATTCTGTTCATCCTGCCAGCCCGTTTTCCCGTGCTGCACTTGTCATGTATTATTTTTTGATTCTCCGCTGGACTTTAGTTTTTGTAAGTTGTTGAATTTACTTTTTTTAATAAAACTGTTTATGTTTGCCTGCCTGCCTCCTGCCCCCTGCCCCCTCCCTGCATATGGGTCCTGCTCTACACCATTTCATGAGAAATTTCCATTTCTCAAGTATACACAAAGGCACCACAAATTGAAATTTCCACAATTTTCTGCTCATTTCGCAGAGACTGCTTTATTCTGTGTTCAAACTGCATTTATTTATTGCATTTACAGTACATAAGGCACTAAATACACACAGATAAAGATCAACACCCAGCAATCAAGTGCACAAGCAATGTATACCCATTTGTCTGTCAGATTACAATTTTCTATGCTTCAGTCAAAAACAGGAAGAGATAGAAAATAGAATAAGGATTAAGGCTCTCTTTGAAAATTTAAGAGCAGCTAGGGAGGAAAGAGATTTGGTTGGGTATTTCTAAACAGCTTTGTGTTGTGGATGTTTTTAATGCACCTCCACAGGTTGTAAAGACTATGACATGATTAATTCCTCTTACTGATTCATTTAAAGTGTAATGGAGTTTTGACGAAAATTCAACTTGGAAGACTCACCTCCACTTCCGGCTCCGTCTAAATACTCCACCACATCCTCCGCTCCAACCAATGAGCTCCTGATCCACATTCCTCTTCAGCTAATCATCCATCCAGGCTTTGCTTTAAAAGACCTTCATACGCAGAATCTCCTGCTCTTCAGCTGAGCTTCGACCCTCCTCCACCCCATCTCCACCATTAGGCTTCAAGCTCCTTCCGACTCCCTTATCTCCTCAGGCCTCCACTCCACCACCAGTATCAGGATCCCAGGGGGAAGACTTCTCTGATTCTAACCCTAAGATGTTTATTCAAGCTCATGTCATTATCAGCATCCATGTCTTCCACCAGGGTCCGAGCGCCAAAAGAAATCAAACATCAGCTAATAAACTCCTCTAATTGCCATCTCTGTGTTTGTCTCATTTGTGAGTCTTTCCAGGTTGAATTGACAGTTAAAGATTATTTTATTTAGTGTCCAATAATATGTACAGTACTTATTTTTAAATATTTTGGAAAATTTTAATTTCTTTTTTAACCTTGACATTTCCATCCACGTGAAGCTTTATCTGTTGGAACGTTTAGCAATCATAAGGTGTATATTCTGAATTACAAAACAAGGATTTTAATTAATTTAGAAATGTATTGAAGTAAAGAAATCCTTAACAAAATAATGGACACACCTCAGTAAAGAAAAGAGTACTTCATCCTTTTATGATACAGCCTTTTTGTTTTTTTATAAAATCAGCAGCACTGCTGCTGGCTGTTTTTCTTGTACAGCAAAATGACCACCAGCTTTCAGTAAATGGTATTTTTCAACATAACCTGCGTGAAACAAACAGCTTTGGTCTTTCATAATGCAAAACTATTGGCACATAAATAGATGTGGACATTCCCCTAAATCATGTGTGGGCAATTCCGATCGCTAGGCACCGGTTTTTAACTTGTCTGAGATGTTTTCCTCATTGAACACACTTTGGTGATGACAGAGGATGTAAGTAAGCTATTTAAATTAGGTGTGTTGGAGACACATCTGCAGGACATTGTCTCTTAAGGACCAGAATTACTGACCTCTGCCCTAAAAGCATGCCCTACACACCATTTGTTGGCAAACTGTGTAAGCCCAAAGGGACACCATTTACTTTATAGATTTGTATTAGAAGCTGTTCTTCTTTTGCGTGTAGTTTCGGTATTAGACGGACACATGGACACTGGTTTTTCACATATTTAGCATGTGCTAAAAACTTTGTGAATTTATGCCTGAGCTTTGTAAATCTTCACTTTGTAAAATGTATTTCCAAAAACACTGCATGTAGATGGAAGGCAAATACATAAAAAAGCTTTTGTGAAATACTTGTGTGTGGGCAGAGTCTAAATCATACTGTTCAGTTATGGTTTTATTGCTGCATGTGTTGTTGCTACATGGGCTGCTGGTTAATGGGAATTGCTTCTGAACACCTTACCCTTTCACTGAAAACAAGCCTTGAATTACCAAGGAAAAATGACACTGTCAGTCTTTGGTGTTACAGCATTAAGAGTTTTAGTGCTGTAAC